TCCAAAAAATGCTTAAACTCACTAGCCCTTCCTCTACAGATCTTAAAATCTAACATTACATTTCTGTGGAATAAATGGTACTGATCCAGTCTAGATTCTTTAATAAACGGTTATGCATTTTAGAAAGAACAGTTGTTCTTGTTTTGTTGATAACAGAAATTTCTATATTTGACTTTCTTCCCCCAGAAAACCTAAGTAGAAATCTGGGAGCACTGTGAAGATGGAAAGAAAACCAATGGAAATACTTTGCTTTTCCAAAGGGATAACATGGCATAGACACAGAAGAAAAAAAAAAAAAAGATTTTTCTATAGCTTCCACAATATAGTCCACCATAAAAAAACATCCCATGTTCTCTTTGTGTTATTACTCCCAAAATCTAAGGATACCTATATCTGAGTCTCTTTTTAGAATCTCAAGATTAAAATACAATAACCCAGGACCAAACAACCCTAACCAAAGTTCCTCCCTTTTTCTTTTAAAAGTAAAAGAGCACCTTTTTTTTTCCAGGAAGCCCAAATTACAAAGTATATTTGACTTTTTAAAACAAACAAACAAACAACAAAAACCAATGTGAACTGAATGTATCAAGCCAGTAAACAGATCCAGATACATCAATGACAAGAAACCACAAACCTAGTATTAAAACCTTAAAATGCACCCCCCCTTTTTTTTTAAATTTAACACTCCAAAGTATATCTGTTTTTACGATACAGGAATTATTCAACAGAAACCTCAGGTTTTCTCATGCACAAATGGGTGATTCCAGGTTGCTAGATGAACTATAGAAACAGAAGGATAATTCATTTGAATAAATTTGTCATCCCAAAGATTCGTGACTAACCACCATAAACACTAAGGAAAAAGGTGTAAACTTGAAAAGGTACAGAAAAGTGCTAACCAGAAATATTTGTGTAAAACATACATTCACACAACTGTAACTGCTGCAAATGCAGAACAGTACACTGGAGCTTCATTAACTTCACTGATTGGAAATTATAATATTCTGGGAATCAAACAATAAAAAATTCAAAGATGCTCTATCCCAAACTATGATAAATCATTTATTTTGACAAGTAAGGGTAGTTTAGTTTTAATTATTTATTATTATACATCGTAGCATATCAGAAAATAGGCAGTGATTTATTGTGCAAAATGAAATCTTAATAAAACGAGTCCCTTCCCCAAACTACAGGATTATTAAATCTTCATGGAAATGCGAGGGTGAACTCTCGGGTTATTTTTGTTATCGAGCTGGCGGGTTAGTAAAGTAAAAAGAAGTCATTCCTATTGCATTTAGTCATATTTTGACTTCAGCCCTTTACAGACCCAAGCCGTAGAAGTCATACAACCTCGGGGATGAGGAGGGAATCAGAGAGGGATAATAGACCCCTGGCTGCCGCTGCCCACAGCTCTTCTGTTGTCTTGCACATGATGCAGCAGCATCTTACTGCTGAAGCAAGCAGAGGCTACTGGCTTCCGACTTTACATCCCTGCTAAAGCTACACTTCATGGAGCTAATGGCTCCTCTTGAGGCAGGCGTAGGTAGACCAGCCATTTTAATGTACTATTCTTGCCCTTTTCGTACCGTTAAAGTTGAAGGGTTACTCCACAGGCCACCACCAACACCCACCTCCCAGCCAGGACTCGCCTCACCCTACCAGTGGGTGTAAATTGGTGTACTTAAATTACTCTGTCTGAGTTTTGTCAGTCTGAATGAGACTAGCCCTGCTGCAAAACCCCACTCAAGATCTTGGATTAACTGCACTGAGGGTCTGGATTAGCAGCCGAGGAAGGGCTGTCATCCCAGCAGTTGTGCTGCCATCACATCACTACCTCCAGCACTCGTCTCCAAACCCCTCCACCCCAGCGAGGGATTTATTTCTCTCATTGGTTAGGGTTATGGTTTGGAGGAAAATTCAGTTTATACCTTGCGTTAACAATACAATGGAAAGAAACAGAGCTTTGCGGTCATTACCTCTTTTTCTTTCTAAGCAGAAAATTGCAAAGCTCGCTGGTATTTAAAGGCAATCATTTCTATGAGCTAGTAATTTCTTCTGGGGACGATAGCACACAAACAAGCTCAGAAAGCTCCTGCATGAAACAATTTGAGGATCCAAATGAGGAAAAAACAGTGGGAGAAGAGAGATGATGGAGTCTGAAGACTAACAAGAATGGCCCATGCTCCACTCAACAGTAGACAAGGGTGGGAATTACAACATCGACTCTGTCCCCATGGCTTTCATCACCCAGAATATGGACACCTGGATCAAGGTCAATGCGTACATCCACCCTTGCGTTACTGCAGAACTGGAGAGGGAAATGGCACTCCACAACTCTTAAAGAGTCAGAAAGGTGTTCTCACATAACGCAAGGGAAGTTCAGAAATGCCAGCTCTGGATTTAAAAAGGGCAGTAACTGAGAAAGGGATTTTCAAGAAGTATCAGCTATTTAAAAATTTACAGCAAGTATTTTTCACTTTTTCAGTGGAAACATTTTGCTGTTCCGTAAATTTCTGGTCTGAATCCCAGTCATTTGGGTCAGTGTTAATTCCAGAGCAGCAAAACATCAGATCAAAATCAGCAAGGCAGTCTATCCTCAAAGTAGGAGTCATGCTGAGCATTACTCTTTAAAGGTAGCTTTAATAAGTACTTACTGAAATGGTAAAAGGAAATGTTAATTTAACTATTAAATACATAATTATGTTAAGTACTTGTTTCTGCAATTGTGACACTTCAGCCTGATGCAAACTCACTTTCTGGCCTGTGCAATGGATTTAATTTATTCCAATTTTTTTTTTTCAACTATAAAGAGGTAAAACACAGGAATTGTTGCTACAAAGATTACTTAGTTGTAATTTATAGAAGTGTTTTATAAAGGTAAAGCATCACACAAGACAAGGACTACGGGCAAAACAGCTGAACTACTCCAGCAGCTCACTGCTGCTGCTCTTCCACCGGTGAACTTTCCCTTCCCTGTCTCCTCCAAGGCCACATGCTCCCCTCACATCCCTCATCTTGGCACTGCTCCTTCTCCGATGTTTTGTTGAGCTGCCTCAATTTGCTAAATGCACAGTAAACAAACCTGGCCCCTTCACCCCAAATTCAGGCTTTTCTGCAGTTACTGAGCTCAAAGGACTCAATGAAGGGTTCCCCAAGTGCAAAGGCTGCTGTTAGGGAAGGGACGGGACCACAGCAGCCGGGAGGGGGAAGCAGAGGAGGGGGAGATGGGGAAATGGGAGAGAGAATCATCTCTTCTGGCTTTACAACAGCTCAGATGAATTGCACACTGATGTTTACATACAGATTCAGAGTTTGCTCAATTACAGCCAAACTTAGGGTTATGCACATAAGCGGTTATAAATATTGACTAATTTCTTAAAAAAAAAAAAAAGGGTAAAAAAAAAACCCCAATACATTGCAGGTTTGTTCCACTTAGAGAAGAAAATATCTCCAGCGTTTCTGTATAAACAGATATACTCCATTTTAGTATGGCAATGAGGAAATCAGAAATACCTGTTTTTTAACTACAACCACCTCTTTACTCTGAGAGATGAAAAAACCTACTGGGTAAATCATTGCTACAGCTTTGCAAAACGTACTGCCGTTGCAAAAATCACAAAATAATTCTACCAAAACATCTTTAACACCTACATCATTTCTAAAAAGTCTAGAGGTTTTAAAATAATTACTAGCACTTTCATAAATATTTAATGCTGTCTACAAAAGTTCTTTGATAGAACTGAAAACCCACTGTGCAAAACCCGATTTTCTTTTACTGACTAAATAATCAACCCAACAACTTACAAATCTGCCTTGTGCTTCATTAGTATTTTTCCAATTTATAAAGAACTCATGTAAAGGACGATACACTTGCTATACTTTAGCTGTACCAGGGGAGTGTGGGGGCTGAAAGCTGACCCAGCAAAAGGAAAAAGACAAAACGAAAGAGCAGCTGGAGGAGGAGTTAGTTTTCAACAGGATCAGTGACCTGGTCTGGCTCATGGTGCAGCTCCACAAGCACTACTGACAGCACAAGGCGTGCAGCAGCCCTGCATGGTGGGCAGGGAGGTGTAACTATGCTTCCTGGGGAGAGCTGCTCTTAGGTAAGCTTCAACTGCATATAAAACTATAACCTGAGAGACTTAAGGTCTGTAATCTCTGGTCTTACCTGACAGAGGGATTAATGAAGCTCAGTGATAAGCAAATGCCTGGTTGAGGTTTCCCTCTGTGAAGCCATCACCTGTTGCGTGTGTCACCCGTGAATCCTGCATGTCCATACTCCTCTCTTCCATCACTTCAAATAGTCAAAGTACAGACTGGACCAGAGGGGCACTTTGTTTGGGTGTTTTGGTTTTTTCAAAATTATTTTAAAAAATTCGATACGATTGTGCCACTTTCTCAGGAGTGTGTGCACTGTGAGGGTGTGCAGGAGAGACATTTCACAGCCTACCAAATTAGCATCTCCGGGAAGAAATTACAATTTCTTTGTCTCCTGCATGGCACAGGCTGATCCAATCCTTGCTAAAAATTAATGTGCCACTAAAACATATCAGAAAAGAAAGGGAAAAGAAAAGCTCAGAGAAGCCCACAAAAGCTGGAGCTGCAGCAGAAGGTCAGGCGTTCCTAGGCTGGGCTGCTGGCAGCCCTCCCACTGCTGCAGGGCAGAGGCCCTTTAACTTGGGTAAACCAGTTAGCTGCATGTCTGAGGAGTGGCCAACATGATGGATTTAGAAACATAAACCCAAGAGTAACTATAGTGGGAAACTTAAGTTTAAATTATTAGAAGGTAAATACATGGCAAGCACTACTCTACAGTACATATAATCATTACAGGGTATCCCTAAAGAGCTGTATTTTTCTCTAAAGTTGCACATTTTCCTACTCTACACAGTTATGACTGCTAAGTGCATATAAAAGAACTGTCATGAAATCCAAGGGAGAAGAAAAAAAAAATCCAAGTCACACTGAGAATTTTATGGGGAACTCATTTAAAATCCTACCTGATTTGCTCTTTCAAGGTCTGTCATGATCATCTCGATTTCATCAGCCCTGGGAGAACAAGAGAGCAGAAGCACTGTTATCACATGAAGAATGCCTGCTATATGAGTTCATGCACAGTACAATTGCAACATTCATACATACAATACCAATTTTCAATATTTTTTTAAAGGACACAGAAAGACTGATCAGTTAATCTGCTGACTGGTAAAAACCTCTTGGGTTTCAGCTCTGTGGACTGGTTTGAAAGTCTCCAATTCCTTTGCCTGTTCCCTTTTTGCAATGAAATAAGCATTTCGATATCTGAGTATATTCATTACATCTTTGAAGATCTTATTCCCCAACGTTCTGCAGAAGGGCAGTGTCATCCTTCCCACATGTAAAGGTACTTCACAAGTGATAATTATGGAGAAGCCAAAGACTACAGTTCTTCAGTCAACTACTTGTATGTGCATACACAAAAGTAGCCTATTACTCTTCTGTTTCAGTGTGCTTAGAAGTTTGGCTCTAAATTTGGCTAAAAAAAAATAATCAAGAGGTCAAAGAGATCAAGAAATTTAATTTTACATTATGCAAAACAGAGGTTTTTGACACAAATTTATGAAACTCTAAATTTAGACTCAAGCTCTTAATGCACTTTGCAAAGCTGAATAGGAAAGTCAAAGGGTTGAAAGCTACACAAATAGTGAAGGAAAAATAGATCCTTCACATACGTGTGTTAGGTGGCAGCTACCAGCCCTGACCCTTTCAAAACACCAGCATTTCTAAGACTTTGCTCACACAAATGGATCCAATCCTTAAGCAATCTTTTTTTATCATCATGCTGAATCATGGGCAAATATTTCAGAGTCATGCTCTCACCTGTGAAAGGTACAAGGAAAAGGGCCTACAGACCTAAAAGTATGTTCTGTATCAATATAAGAAGACATATTACTTCTTCCCAGACATTTTGTCTGTCTTGTATCTCTGGACCATATGGAAGCAATAAACACTATCCTCATCTCCAATGAACAGCAGCTTTAACCAGCAAGTTCTTTTGCAATCTGCCAACACCATAATGTCTGTTTTTTGTTTTTAATCTGTAGCAGATCATTATCAGTAAAAGCTGTGAAATACTGGAATTCCCTTCCTCTGCCAATGCAGAAAAGCCAGGGTTTGCTTTTCTGCTGATCCTACAGAAGATCCATTTTGCTACGCAGGTGTTTGCTGGGAAAGATGTTTAATTGAAGTACATCAGGGTACTGCTACACTCGACACCGATCATTACACTGAGTATTGACTTACTCTTCATCAACATTTTAGGTTTCTGCATGCACACTTAGGGAAATGCACTAAAAGATCATAATAAGTAAATGTGTATGTATATAAATTAATGGAAAATTATTTTTAATGACAGCCTTTAATGTTGTCGGGGCAACATGAATTGCCTTTTGAAAAAATCTTTTGGACAATAATGGAAAACAGATGAACATGTGTTTTCTTGTGCAGGAGAAGCTAATGTGTTCTTACATTCGAAAGAAATCATGCACATGATGTTTTGAATTAATAATAAATAATAGGCATTAGTTACTGAACTGAACAATCACTCCTTGGCCAAATAAGGATTCAAAGTCTGCAGGGAGTAGCCGGAAGACTAACCTGCAGAGGTTAACATGAGCCCGCAATAACACTTTTGATCTCTTTAGGCCCTGTAGTTGTGAAATATCCTTTGTTTTAGACTCCAGCCCCAAAATACTTGTTAACCCACTTACGGAAATTACAGTATTTTGCATAGAAAATATGTCCCTAAGACCATGCAAGTGACCCCATTATGCATCTGTAACAGAGGTAAGAGAGTATCCTCATCCTAATGCACCAAAAAAAAAGTTTCCCAGCATTTTACAAATATTTTTAGCCAGGATAGTTTAAGGATCCTCTTTACATAAGCTTATGCATTCAGGCTGAATTTATGTGTGAATGCCTCAGGTTATATGGAGCCAGTAAATGATGTCTGGATTATGTCACATGCCTCCCAGATCACAGCCGGGAATGTCCCATCCCAACACGCCGGCTACAGCTTAAGCGAATCCATTTTCCGCTCACTTCCCTGTAGAGTCTGGAGAACAATAAAATCACTGCCTTTCCTCCCAAACAGGGGGTGCCAGGTATCAGCCAAAGGTCTGAAAAACTGCAGAACCAGAGAAGGGCGAAGGACTCTGAATCACAAAATCCTCAGACCGGCAGAGGAAGAGTTCCCTGCTTTGGGAGGAGAAGGTTTGTTTTTCAGTTCAGCCAAGGGAGCTTTTTTTTTTTGCAGAAAAGGACTCTGAAGCACAAAACCCTCAGACCGGCAGAGTGCCCTGCTTTGGGAGGAGAAGGTTTGTTTTTCAGTTCAGCCAAGGGAGCTTTTTTTTTTTGCAGAAAAGATGATGACTGATGCAGAAGAGATGAGCAGGAAGGGGCAAAAGTGTGAGGGGGTCTGGACCCATCGAAGGACCCTCAGCCACCTTTAAAGGTCACTGAGGCAAGTGAAGGGAGCCAAGGGTAGTGAAACAGATGAAGACAGCAGAGCAAGAGAAGGAACAGAGGGATGCCTGATGCCAAAGGACCAAGGGGAGATGGGACCAAGAGTACTAAAGCAGAGGAGCACCCCCAGCCAGCGGAGGGGTGCACGGCTGCCAGCAAAACAGGTCGAAACGTAGGACGGTGCCTGAAAAACGAGGTGGAAGGACTCAGGACAATCCTGTATTTAAAATGGACAGAAGTATTAATACCGGTATTTGTATGCCATTTCGGCTGGGGTCAGGATTTAAGAGCTCTATTACAGCACTGGTATACGCAGCCAATTACAAAAAAAAAAAAAAGGCGACCAAGGATATAGAACGCCATAAAAATGACATTTCTGCCCTTCAGCGCGCACAGATAATTCTGACTGAATCCAGCAGAAGTGTCAAACTGTAGCCAAGAGCAAAACTGTCCCTTTGTCCTTGTACCCAGACACACCAGTTGACTGATCCTGAACTCCCCTTTCCCTCATATTTTTTCTACCTAGCTTTTCCGCACACAATCTGTCTCCACACACCTAATAAAAGGATGCAACATCTCCAAAAAATTTCAAGCAAAACACCTCCAGCCTAGCAGTCTGCACACCAATGGAGGTTAATGCTGCAACCATAAACGTTATCTTTAAGTAAAGTAATGAATTAAATTACTCTATATTCTTTCCTAGCACAAGTGTCAACAGCATTCAGAAGAATCTTCAAAAGGAATTCAGTCTTTTCATTTTAAAAGCTCAACTACCACATCAGTAGCTGGCACTCAGCAGTCTAAAATCACTTATTTGAGAAAGTCTCTAATAGCTACATTCACTGTTTGCTCAGCAGAAGTATTTATTATGAAATAAATTACAGTTCTCACACCTTTTATGCACTCACAGAAACAACTTGCATTGATTTATTGTTTACAAAGCACTGTGTCAAATTCAAACCTGCAAGGTATGAGGAAACTCCACTTTGGCTCACTGAATTAGTCCCACACAGGTCATTTTTTGATGTGTTCACCATCTGCCACATTTGCTCATTTTCAGCCCTCCCTATTTCAATATTTCTCTTTATTTCAACAGAATTACTTGACCAGCAAAATACCATCCAGCTTAAGGCTGCTAGCATCTTGTCCTGCAGGTATTCATTGAAAATCTGGTGGGAAGCTTGAAGGGAACAATGACCAAGTTGAGCAAATCTGTGGTTACATTGACCCTAAATTTCTGACCAAAGTCATTCCATGTGAACTAAACTCACTTATAAGAGACACAGATCTGATGATTTTACTTTTAACTTTCCTCGTTCCTGAAGCAACAGGCGACTTAGCCTCTTGTGAGTCCCTGGATTCCCCAAGAGCTGAAGGCAAGGAGAAAAACCTCAAAGTTCTATCTTTCTTCAGATAGATACAGAGAATGAGGGTAATTAGTAACAAGACGACCTTTTGCTAAAATACAGTGATATTTACAGTGTTTTACAGCAGACTTCTACAGTGTAACCCAACATTATTTAGGGTTTGTCAAGGGTGATACTTTCTCAACATTAAAACAGATCATGAGAAAAAGAGTGGGTAAAAGCTGTTTTCAGGAAAAATATTATCTACCCGGTGTTTTCTCATTCCACGGACAGTATAATCATTTATCTGATGTAATTCCTTATAATCTCTGCGTTAGAGGAAAAGTAATCATGTCAGCAAGTTCTTCAGTCTGTATTACAGATAGCTTGTTCTAAGTTTTAACACTTTCAGGCTAAGGAATTTAGGAAATCAAATTTTAAGCCCAAGCATTTTGAGCTACGGCATAAGCATCACCAAGTAAAAAGAATTTGTTGAAACAGCATAACCATGAAAAATTCTATTATTTCTTCTCTTGCTACCGTGTTTGAAGTGAAAAACAAAATGCATTAAAAGCTATAGATTTTACAAGGTATAAGCTTTTACCAGTCATCTAAGAGCCCTCAAAGCTAACATGCCACCTATAAGAAAACAACTTAAGGAGTTTTTTTTAAAAAAAACACACATCCTATTTTCCAATTCAATTGCTGATGGGAAATAAAAACCACAGAAAGACTCAATTTTCTTTTTAAGATCGAGATAACCGAGTAGGTTTGAACAGCGTAACAAGCAAGCAAATTCAAGAATTGCTAACGTGGAAGAAGCTCAGTTCTTTTTCTAAATAAAATTGAATCAGATGAAAACCCTAAACACTGTGAAGCTATTCAGTTGCAAGCAAGAAGAATCTGGACTTTATGATTAAAATCCAGTTGATCCAACTCCTTCATTTAGATACTAGCTTAAAGAGGCAGAAACAATTCCTTTTTTATTAACATGACAAGTGAATGGTTTGCCAAATCTTGTGGCTACAGCCCCCTAAACATTCAAACTTACTGAACCTTGAAGGAAACTGCTGTTGGATTCTTTATACATGGAAGAACTGAAAAATACAGATGACACTTTTGAAATTGCAGTCAGAGGCATGGCCAAGAAACTTCACTAGCAGGGCAGATTAGTATTTTGGTTTGGCAAAAAACAAACAA